CCAGGACGCCCTTGTCGCCACGACTGGACCCGCCTCGGAGTTCTGGTCGAAGCGCACCTCTGGAGAGGTCGGGTGCTCTCGACTCTTGACCCCCAGATCACTCGCTGTCACTGGGGAAACCAAAAGGTACCGATACCGCTACTCCCCACGGACCTCTCCCGAGGTTGGTTCTGACCAGGATTTCGAGGCGAATCCAGCGGTGGCGACGAGGGCCTCCCAGGAAGCCCCAAAAAGGGGAAAACGGCCGAAGGGTAGAGGTATGGGTACCTTTTCCTCCTCTGAGTCACCGAGGGGTCCCGGAGGAGACGGCCCCGGAGGTGGCGTCTCGTCGTGTCCGGCCTCCCAGGGCCCTCCCCGGGGCACCGCGGGGCGCTTCAGCGCAGCGGTCGGCCCATGGGAGAACGGCCCGAGGCCGCGGTCCACCGCACCAGGCCAGGACGCGGAGGACTCCGTTCAGAAGGAACAAAGAAGAAAACAAAAAAAAAAAAAAAAACGTGCCCCACGGGGCCCCACAGGGAGCTCCACCTGGGCCCCCAGTGCGCTCGCACAGCGTGCCCCCCGCCCACTTCGGCCCACCCCTCGCTCGGATCGTGGCCCCTTGGGGGGCTCCACCGATAGCACGAGAGTCAGGGGGGGGGGGGGGAAAAACACCGACACCATTACTCCAGATTTCGTAATAAAGGGAGGGGGGTCTAATTTCGGGGGGGTCTCTTCCAGGCTAGCTTGGAGGGCCTGGGGGGGTCTGGGGACGATGTTTTGGAGGGTTCTCCCACGGGGGGTCTGAAATGGCTTGTCTTGGAGGGTCCAAACCCCCTCCCTTTTATTACGAATTCTGGAGGAATCGTCGACTCCCAGGAAAATATGGGAAAGTATGGGAAGTGGGGGGGAAGACGAAAACTCAGGAAATATGGAAAATAGGGCGAATCGGTTTTCCTTTTTTTTGTGTGTATTTATTTGTGTGTCCCAGCGCCCCTTCATCCGTTCCAGTGCGCTCCGGAACGCTCTCAGAGCGTTCGGGAACGCTCCGGCAGCAGGCCGCGGCGCCCGAGACAGCCTCCAGAGCCGCCGGATCTCGGAGATCCTCGATGTGCCCTCACGCGATGCCACCCGTCCAATGAGCGAGGAGGAGGAGGCGGAGGAGGCGGAGGAGGAGGAGGAATAGGAGGAGGCGGAAAAGGAGGAAGAGGAGGAAGAGGAGGAGGAGGAGGCGGAGGACGAATAAGAGGAGGAGGATAAGGAGGAGGAATAAGAGGAGGAGCCCCAGCGTCGTGTGAGTCCAGGACCCGTTTCCCTCAGCTCACCAGTGGTGCCTATGCCGAGAGGCACGGCCCGACCCCAGCGTTAAGTCGGGCCTGTCCCTCTACAGGGGGAATATTCAAAAATGGTAAAAACATGATCTGGGTACGATTGTTTGACTATTCTTGCCCATTTGGGGGGGTATGTTTAGATCATTTTTCGCTCAAGCCGCTTCGGCCCGGCAGCGACCCTCGGAGTCGCCTGCGTTCGAGAAGCTCGCGCAGAGGCAGCTTTGAAATCTCCTCGCCGCCGCGATGCACGGGGGCCGCGCCGCCGCCTGCCTCTTGCTGCTGCTGGCCATCGGGGCCGCCGGTGACGAGACGTGCGGCGCGGGCGAGTGTGGCGCCGACGAGGCCGCCCTCGTGGCGCACAAGGCGGACGTCCACAAGCACGGACAGGGCGCAAACGCAACGGGCACGATATGCGACGCCACCGACGTACCAGGCCCGAGGGCAAAAGGGTGCAGCTGGATGAAGACTCCTCCCGGCGACGACTGCGCACAAGCCACCGGGGGGGCGTGCATGTGCCGGGACTACAACCTGTACAGGAGCGGCTGCCCGATTTGTGAACCGAACCCGTGCACCAAGCGCTACTGCTTCGACATCGTTGACTTGCCGGGCAACAACTGCCAGTGGATGTACAACAGCGGGGACGATTGCCAGCAGCAGACGCCCCACGCTATCGACTGCCGCCAGGCCAACCAAGCAAATTGCCCGCGCCCCTGCCGCTAGGACCGTCTTCTGTGAGGCGTTGGCCACCGATCCGATGATCTGCTTGCATGTAGGTTTGAAGAGCCGCTCCTTTGCTCTGGGTGGCCGCCAGTTGCAGAGGCTTCTGTCGAGACCCTCGACCGCGGCACAGCGTTCTTAGTTCATTCCCTACGTGGCAAAGCGGTGCCGCGCGCGACGCGGTTTCGACTGCGTGGCTCGAGGCGCTGGCAATTGGCTGCGACGTCTACTCATCATCGAGTGAAGCGCTCGTGCGATTTATATACGCACGTGGAGCAGCCTACCAGCGGGCGCCGGCCATCCATTCGTAGGCAGGTCCTTTTTTGAGGCGAGAAAGACAGCACTCAGGCGGGGGGGCCCGCATCGCCGCGCCGTTGCCTCCGCGCTCCATCGTGGAGAAAAAAATGTTTAGAGTATTTTTTATTGTTCGCCCAAAATCCACCCGCAGGGGGACGGGCCCGACTTAAGCCCAGCGTCATCATTGGGGGGGGACGCCACGGAGGCGATGTACACCGATCCCAGACGGGGAACCGGCGCGGCCAGGATCCGCGCAGGCCTGCAGTTGCAGGGCTCATTTCGATTCCTACGATTCGATTCGATCTCAATGGCTTCCGATTCCGATGCGGTTCGACTTGGGTTCCTTTTTGGATTCAGATTTCTTCTTGGAGGCATGCTAGCCCGTTGGTTTCCGGCGAGTTTCGATTTTCCCGACCCGGCTGCCGATGTCCGACGGTCCGATTCACTTCGATCGCCGATCCGGGTTCTCGAGTCGACGCTGGGCCCTCCCGCAGTCGGCACCACCCGAGGCGTCGTCGCCGAGGCTCGACGATCGAGGTGTGCAGCGCGAGGCTGCCGGACCCTCTTGGTGGCCTTCCTGGGCCCCCTCTCCCCGAGAGGGGGGGGCTCGTCCTCCAGGCCGGATCCGCCTCGGCATTCCAGGTCCGAACGCCCCCAGCTGAGGGTCGCGAGGCTGCCGGACCCTCTTGGTGGCCTCCCTGGGCCTCCTCTCCCTGAGAGGGGGGGGCTCGTCCTCCAGGCCGGATCCGCCTCGGCATTCCGGGTCCAAGCGCCCCCGGCAGAGGGCCGCGAGCCGTCGTCGCCGCCGCCCACGACAACGTCGTCGGTGTCGTCCTTGTCGTCGTCGTCGTCGTCGTCGTCGTCGTCGTCGTCGTCGTCGTCGTCGTCGTCGTCGTCGTCGTCGATTGTCCGACGTCGTGCCCCACAGATTTCGGAGGGAGCGGGGCGGGCAGCACCCTCGAGAGCTGATGCCCCACGGGGGGGCCCAGAAGAAGCCTCACGAGGGCCCCACGAGGGGCCAAACGAAAGGCTGACTGGGGATCCGTAGAGAATCTTGGAGGCTGCCTCAGGCCCCAAGGGGGCACCAGTAGAGACCCCAAGGAGGCTCCAAGGGAGTCACAACAGGGCGTTTGGGGATTTCTCATCCTCCCCCTTTTGCTGTTCCCCCTCCCCGTTCGTAAAATGAGGGCGGCGTCCGAGGCCCATGGCACGCAGCGTGAGGCGAGGCACAAATGGGGATAGAGACAAGCGGCAGCAAACGGTGAGTTCGATGTTGTGCTGGCGGCTTCATTCCTACGTCCCTGCTCCATTCCCCTACTCAACGTTCGCTCTCCTTCTCCTGCGTGCGAGGGGCCATCGGACGGACCACTTGATCAGAGTCACTCCTCCGCTCTCGTCCTTCCTTCTCGGGTTTAGAGGGCCTCCTGCCTCCAGCTCTGATCAGACGGCATCGGCGGCGCGGTCACAGGGAAGCCGCGTCCCAGCCGCCAGAGTCGCCGCCGCCGTCGGAGCCATGGGAATCGCCGCCGCTGTCGTCATCGTCGTCGACGTCCTGATCCAACTGCACCGCCAGGGCTACGTTGGACTCGGCAGGGGCTCTCGGGGCTCATCTGGGGCCCCGGCTCTGGCGCTCCTGGGTGGATCGGGTCGCAACCTGAGCCAGAGAGGGGAGCGAGGAGGACGACGCGAGGACGATGAGGGAGAAGAGGAGGAGGAGGAGGAGGAGGAGGAGGAGGAGGAGGAGGGAGGAGGAGGAGGAGGAGAATGAAAAGGAGGAGGAGGAGGAGGAGAAGACGGGCAGCCCGAGGATTCATATAGTTGCTGCAGAGCGTTCCAGAACGCTCTGAGAGCGAGAGCGCCCTGGAGCGCCTCGGCGGGCGGCGCCGGACACCTCCAGCTCAGCCAGCTAGCAGAGATCCCGAGTTTCCTTTGCCCGGTGCTGTCTTCCTGTCGTCGTCTTACCTCAGGAGTCCTCGGTGGCTTTTTGCTGTCGCAGCGGTGCCCGAAAAAGGGTGCGCCGAAGCAAGAACGAACGACAGAGAAACGATGCCCCGGAAAGGGAGAGTTCGATGGAACTCGGGACGACAACAGGTCTCGAGAAAGGGTCCAGACCTCTGGACAGCCACGTTGTGGAAGGAAGTTGGACGTCGGATGTCTGGGGAGGAGGATGGTCCTCCTTTTGTTCTGTTACTTCGGGCGCCCCCCTTGTCGCCACGGCTGGGCGCGGCTCGTCAAACGTGGTGTTGCCCGGGAGGGGTCTATGGCACTTTTTGCGCGGACTCCAGAGGGCATATGGGGAGGGGGGCGGCAGACATGGACAGAGGATTGCATGAGGAGAGGGCTACTCAGGGCATGGGCGTGGTCAGTGCACACGCGCACGATGTGCGGTCCGGCGCCACGGTGCGGGTGGGGGCAAAGGCGTGGTCTGGGCCACCGGTGGTGAGTGGGGGCAGGTGCGTAGTCGGTCTCGTCCCCGTCTCCGCCCTGTCTGCCCTTTCTCGTCCGACTCGTTTTCTTGCGTGTACGATGTTCAGTGCATTTCCATGGGGCTTCATTCGCTGATTCCAAGAAGAGCCGAGGGGTAAGAATTTAATGTTGCCGATGAGGTGGAGAATGAGGAGGAGGAGGAGGAGGAGGAGGAAGAGGATGAGCAGAAAGAGCGGGCTGCGAGAGTGTTAGCGCAAATGCGTTGTCCAGAGGAGCAGGTGGAGAGCGGCGGGTGCGTCGGGCTCGAGTTGAGCAAATTTGCGCGCCGCTGGAGGTGGACATACGTTGTGGGCGACGCGCTGCCAGACGATTGGTCCTTTTTGATTAGCCCCGACAGCACGACCATCGCCTTCTGGGCTGGAGACGGTACCCACCTCAGTTCTTCAGAGTTGAAGTCATCATCGTTCTCTGCCCTCTTCCTGCTTGTCCTTCTCCTGGGGCGTAGCTCGAACTTTTTTTCGCAGGTTTATCTGATCTCACTGGTTGACTGATTGATTGACGGGGTGCGCCCGTTAGCAGGCCGTTGTTTGGGGGCGGCTGAGGGCGCAACCAATGGCGCAACCCAAAGCATCTGCCAGCAGGCTCTTCTTGTTCTCGGCAGCCAGGGGTGCAATGTATGACATACTAGCAGGCCTCTTTAAGTTCGGCAGCGGAGGTCTTAGACTATTGCGCAACCGTGTGCAAGCAATTCTATGGTCGGCATTCGAGGCTCGAGGACGCAACGAATGGCGCAACCAATGGCACAGCCCAGTGATGGCTCAATCTACGATTCAACCCATTGCGCGACCTAAAGCAACACAAGTATGGCTCAACCTGCAGCGCAATCAGTGACGCAATCCATTGCTAGCGCAGCCAATGGCGCATCCCATGGGCCCATTTGTGCAAGCTAGTACGGCGCGACCTGTGGTATAACCTATTGACGGCGCAACTTATTGCGCGATCGATCATTCGCCGAGAGCAGGTGGCCCTCGCAGTGTATAGCCCCGTCGGCGAGCTGTCTTGTGATTTTTCCTGCTGTGCCACCGAGCGCAGACATCACGACCATCGCTTTCTGGGCTGGTCATGCGATGGCGCCGATCTGTTTCTTGAGGGGTGAAAGCGCATCGCCGCTCTCGTGGCAACTTCCGCGCCGAGCGCGCTGACGAGTGGGACGGCAGTCGGACGGTTGTGTCCCTCTCTTTCTCGTTTCGCAGAGCATGTGCAGGCACCACGAGCTGCACCGACGTAGAGACTGGGAAAGGCAACGCTGCACGAGAAGCGGGAGCCTTGAGACGGGGGTCCATGCAGACGGGGGCCTTGAGCGCCAGATCCTGCAGGATCCTGGGAAGACCACCTCCGGCTGACCCGGGTCAGCGAGCCGCTCGTGGCCGCGAGGCGGCCGCGCCCGTTGGCGGATCCGGGTTTTGCGAAGACCTGCGTTGCAGGTTTTGTTCCCCACATCCTGAGTGGGGTTCTTGTTTTCCCAGAACACCCTCTCCTTCTCCTCCTCCTCCCGCGTCCTTCTCCTAAACCATACCATACCAAGCCATACCATACCAATACCTTACCATACCAATACCATACCAAGCCATACCAAGCCATACCATATCAATACCATACCATACCATACCAATACCATACCATACCATACCATACCAAACCAATAACATCCCAAGCCATACCAAGCCATACCATACCAATACCATACCATACCAATACCACCCCTCCCACCCCTCCAGGGAGGCCCCGCCTGAGCGAGGAGGGTATTCGCATCACCTGTTATTTATCAGGTTTCGTGCCCCTCCCACCCCTCCAGGGAGGCCCCGCCTGAGCGAGGAGGGTATCGGAATACCATACTATTTACAGGTTTCGTGCCCCTCCCACCCCTCCAGGGAGGCCCCGCCTGAGCGAGGAGGGTATCGGAATACCATACTATTTACATGGTTTCGTGCCCCTCCCACCCCTCCAGGGAGGCCCCGCCTGAGCGAGGAGGGTATCGAATACCATACTATTTACATGGTTTCGTGCCCCTCCCACCCCTCCAGGGAGGCCCCGCCTGAGCGAGGAGGGTATTCGCATCACCTGTTATTTATCAGGTTTCGTGCCCCTCCCACCCCTCCAGGGAGGCCCCGCCTGAGCGAGGAGGGTATTCGCATCACCTGTTATTTATCAGGTTTCGTGCCCCTCCCACCCCTCCAGGGAGGCCCCGCCTGAGCGAGGAGGGTATTCGCATCACCTGTTATTTATCAGGTTTCGTGCCCCTCCCACCCCTCCAGGGAGGCCCCGCCTGAGCGAGGAGGGTATTCGCATCACCTGTTATTTATCAGGTTTCGTGCCCCTCCCACCCCTCCAGGGAGGCCCCGCCTGAGCGAGGAGGGGCCCCGCCTGAGCGAGGAGGGTCGGCATCACCTGCCTTATTACTCAGGTTTCGTGCCCCTCCCACCCCTCCAGGGAGGCCCCGCCTGAGCGAGGAGGGTATCGGAATACCATACTATTTACATGGTTTCGTGCCCCTCCCACCCCTCCAGGGAGGCCCCGCCTGAGCGAGGAGGGTATCGGAATACCATACTATTTACATGGTTTCGTGCCCCTCCCACCCCTCCAGGGAGGCCCCGCCTGAGCGAGGAGGGTATCGGAATACCATACTATTTACATGGTTTCGTGCCCCTCCCACCCCTCCAGGGAGGCCCCGCCTGAGCGAGGAGGGTATCGAAAACCATACTATTTACATGGTTTCGTGCCCCTCCCACCCCTCCAGGGAGGCCCCGCCTGAGCGAGGAGGGTATCGGAATACCATACTATTTACATGGTTTCGTGCCCCTCCCACCCCTCCAGGGAGGCCCCGTCTGAGCGAGGAGGGTATTCGCGAACAGTGCTATTTATCAGGTTCCGTGCCCGTCCCACCCCTCCAGGGAAGCCCCGCATGAGCGAGGAGGGTATTCGCAAACCATGTGATAGAAAAGGATGGAGAGGGCGAGGGCAGGTCGGCAATTTCTCTACAAAATGTTGCTTGATCCCGCTAGCCCAAAAACATCATTATGTGGGGAACTCCGTTAGCATAATTGTTGTCCTGCACTGCAGGTTTTCGTTTCCTGCTGGCCCGGGTCCGGATCGACCCGGGCCAGAAGATCGCCGAGAGAAGCCACATGATGAGTCAGCATCTGCTGACCACGTCCACCTCTGGATCCTCGATTCTGTGACAGGCCCTCGGGGGTGGAGGTGGGCAGTTTTTTTCCTCCCCCTGGGGCGGGGAAACTGCCCACCTCCACCTCTGGAAAAACCGGTTTTCGCAAGGCACCTCGGGAAAGACCTGCCGCACCCCACACTACGGAGGAGGAGGAGGAGGAGGAGCAGCAGCAGCAGCAGGAGGGGGGAGGAGGAGGAGGAGGAGGAGGAGGAGGAGGAGGAGGAGGAGGAGGAGGAGGAGGAGGAGGAGGAGGAGGAGGAGGAGGAGGAGGAGGAGGAGGAGGAGGAGGGAGGAGGAGGAGGAGGAGGAGGAGGAGGAGGAGGAGGAGGAGGAGGGGGAGGAGGAGGAGGGAGGAGGAGGAGGAGGAGGAGGAGGAGGAGGAGGAAGAGTCCAGGGTAAGAAATCGGTCTCCTAAGCATCGGGAGGCGCGCGACCGGCGACGCTCGGGCACGCTGTGCGGGCAAGGCATGCGGGCACGGCGCGCGCGCGTCGCGGGCACGCCGCGGCGCGCGGGCTGCACAGTTTTGTCCGCTGTCCGGAGCAGGCACGGCACGGCACGCGGGCAGGGTGCGGCCAGCACGCGGGCGCCAAATATCACCACCCACCAGACCACCCCAACCCAACCCGAAGGTTCAGATTCACCCTCGATTTCTAGTTGGGGGAGGTCGAGAAACCAAGAAAAAACACGCGTGGAACCCTTACCCCCCCCAACCCGAAAATCGGGTGTTCGGGTTGGGTTGGAGTGGTCTGGTAGGTAGTCAAAATAGTTTGAATCGGCACGAACGGAATGGGTACAGTCGGGGCGCTGAAGAAGGAGCCCTTTTCGTTGGGGAGGGACTCCGTGCTCCTCGATGGTGTCACAGCTTGCCTCAGGTTCTCCTTAGGTTTTCGATGGGAAATCGAACTTTCACTGATTGGAAAAAGGGGCCTCGTTCCTTATTTAGGGTTCCTTAGGTCAACGTCCCGACTGTACGGAAAGAATGGGTACGATGCCCAACAGCAGTTCCTGTTCATTTTGAGCAGGGCTCGCTCTCCGCGCAGCCGCGGCCTGTGTCCATTTGAGACAGAAGGCCGTTTGCCCAACTGACAGCGGCCGCTGCTGGATTGGGACAACATTTGCTGTTGGGCATCGTACCCATTTCTTCCGTACCCATTTCGGGCGTTCACATTGAATCCTGCAGCAGCGAACATTGGTTCCTATTTCATGGCCTTCAGCCCATCCCGGCACCGTGCCTGGGTTGTGGGTCATATAGGCCTCCATGAGATTCGCTGGGACGTCGTGTGGGAGGCCTCTCGGGGGCCCAGTGCAGGCAGTCTTGAGGCCTCTTGGGCGCCGTGCTGGGACCTCTCGGGAGCCGTGTGGGGGGCCTCGTGGGCCGTCTTGGGCGGTCTTGCGGGCCTCTTGGGCCGCCCTGGAGCGTCGGAGGCTCGAACAGGTGAGAACCCCACAAGTATTGAGAAAAACTCACTGGGATCCATGATGTTGGCCTCTGGAGGCCCTCTTAGGAAGGCTCTAGGAGCTCTATTCGGGCCCCCTCCTCTCCTCTCCTCTCTCCTCCCTCCCCCCCTCCTTTCCCCTCCCCCCCTGGCCGGTGCTTTGCCGTCCACCCTCGCGCTGCACCGGCATGCCTGTGCATTGCAATCCGAGGCACGGCGATGCCCCGAGCGCTTGCACGCTCCTGCCCTGCATTTTTCCTGATCGCATGTGTTGTTATTCAGCTTGCCAATGCGCCGTCTGGGCGCGGCTTCTTTCGTTCGTTCGTTCGACGGCTTCTTAGACCATCTTGGAGCCACCTTGAGCGTCTTGGACTGATCGCGTAGTGATTCGGAACACTCGTCTGGTGGTCTCATGGAGGTGTCTTAGCACGCCTTGGGCCCCTCTTGGCCCCGAAAAAGCCATGCGCCATCACTCGGGGGAGCCCAGGGGAACGCGCCAAGCCCCGGGAGATTTGAGAGCTTGGGGTCCAGGCCCCCTGAAGACCTCCTCTCAGGAGTGAGGACTGAGGGCCTGCGGGCACTCCAACTCATGCCCGAGGGCACGGTGGCGGATAATGCAAGTGAGACCCCCATTGTATTCGCTGTTCGGGGACCTCGGGGACCGATTTTGAGCGGATCTGCTGCTGTTGTCTCGATTGGTCCTCCTCCGACATGGAGACGGCATGGTGATGAAGACCAATTTGAGAAGGGCTCGCTGCTGCTGTCGCTGCGGACGTTCCGTTGTCCAGTTGGGACGAAGGTCGCTTGCCCAACAGCGGTGTCGCTTCTGGACAGCATTCCTTGTTGGACATCGTATCGTAGATACACTTCCTTTTCTGGGCGAGCCAGAAGGTAACCATCCAAAGCGAGGTCAACGCACGGGTCTGGATGCGTACCACTGCACTAGCCATGTTCGCTCGAGCGACCTTTCTGACCCAAACTCAAGCTGTGGCTGCATAGCCGGCAGGCTGATTGCAGCGCCGCGGCAAGCCCGCCCGGAAGGAGGCCGTGCATCAAATGGCAGCATGTGTCGTGAAGACATTCGCCCGGTGCCTGCTCCTGATGCTAACAGTCAGGGAGGCCTTGGGAGGAAGTCTCGGCCTCGGGGACATCGGAAAGGCGTTCAGGGCTGTGAGCAAGGATCCCCCCAAGATGCTGCATGCCGTCGAGCAGAGGCTCGGCCAGGGGGATGAGGGCCCAGAGAGGCTAGTCGGGGACGCTCGTCAGGCGCTCACGGGCGCCGATGCCTCGAAGGCCCTGGACACCGCCGGGGGCGCGGCGCAGAACGTGTCGGGAGCACTGCCCGCGGCCTCCGCCGCAGTGAGCGGTGGTCGCGCGAGGGCCCGGCCGGGGCAGTCGACCACGGCGGAGCCGCCCGGTGACGGAGAGGCCGGCGGCAGCCGGGCCGCGCAGGACGCCCTCGGCGACGTGTTGCGGGGCCGGGGTTTCGAGGGCGCCGTGGGCAGGATGATCCCCGGAAGCTCGGGCCGAGCGAAAGGGGGGGATAGGGAAAGGGGGGGTAACGTTGTGTCGGGCGTGTCCCCCTACAGGAGGATTTTCTACGAGAAATAAAAGATACCCCAAGAATACACCAAAAAGGTCAAAAAATATTCAAAAAATACTCCCAAGGCTATATGTGGACTATTTTTTTTTACTATTTTTGGGGGGTATTTTTTTCTCGTCGAAAATCCCCTTGTAGGGGGACAGCCCCGACTTAAGGGTAACGACATTTGCTGCACGCAGCTGGTGTCGGCCCCGCCGCCGGGCCCACTGCTCGATACACTAGCGCTCCCCGGCGCCGGGAGGCGCCAGGGAGATCAGCCATACGTGAGCTGATGCTCAGACCCCCCCTCTGCCATCCCCCCCCCCCCTTTCGCCCGGCCCGAGAAGCGTGGCGGCAGCGGTGGCGAAGGTGCGCGGGGGCGGGATCGAGGAAGCCGCCTCCACGGTCTCTGAGCTCGGGCAGGAGATCGCCGACGTGCGGGTGAGGGCGGCGGGCGGTTCGGCCACCACCGGTTCGGCGGTGAGCCAGGCCGTGGGCCAGGCGGAGCAGGCGCTGGAGGGGAAGACGGCGAGAGTGGGCAGTTTGGCAGAGAAGGCGACGGCTGCCACCGCGAAGGAGGTGATGGATTTGGCTGGCGCCGAAAGCTCCAAGAAGCTCGGGAGATCTATTTGGGGGGATCTGCAGAACGCTGTCCCGAGGGTCGATGCCACGATTGCCAGTGCGAATTCCGCCCACACTTCGCAGAACATCGGCAAGAAGGAGTTGCGAAGTCCCACCGACGGAGCTGCGAGCGAGCATGGCGAAGCGGGCGTGGACGGAAACGTCAGCTTGGTAGTGTTGCTCGCCTTGGCAGGCTGCATCTTGGGTTTCATCTTGGGGGCCTACGTTTTTTTTCAGCGCGTCACCAAGCCCAGACCTGTCGGCATGGCCATGCTGAGCGGCGATCACGAGCAGGGCAACACTGCAGCAGCCAGCCACTGGATGGGCACGAGCGCGCGGGATTTAGTTCCCAATTCGCCAGGCGGGAACGATGTTCCTATCTCGCGGGATGCAGTCTCAAATCTCGAATGGCTCTCTCGTTCCTGAATTCATGCCCCAATTCATGCCCTTGGCGCTTCAGTGGCTACGCGGCGCACGGAATACACCTTGTGCGCGCGGCCCCTCTGGCTGCAGCCGTGCGCACGCTCCACCTCGCGAGATCACCCTTCTGGTCTTTCAGTATTTGTATCACGGCTCTCGTTGCAACACGTTCGAGGATTGGAGTACCAGGTAGTCTCGTCGCTTCTCTTCACAAGCTGTGCTATGAAGTACCCGTTTGTCATGCTCACAATCCGCTCGTGCAGTCTGTCCATCCCGCGGCCTCTCCGACGGTTGATCGCAGCGTCTCAACCCCCCTGCCTCCTGTCCTTGCCTCTTCGCTCTTCCTACCCTCCCACGGGCTCCCCTTCCTCGCCCCTCCTCCATCCTCCCTCCGCCCTCCCCCGCTCCCTGCCATGGGGAGGGGGGTGCTGTGGGTACCTGCGCAAGTCTGCGGCAGTTTAGCTCACGAAGCCACTTGGGCAGGTATAGGGCGCAGGAGAAGGATTGGTGGGTGGAGGAGGACGGTTTCGACCACCCTCCAGCTAGTTCTGGCGCCCTCCTCCGGCCCTCCCCGTCCCGTAGTCCCTTTTCTCCACCTACGCCAGCCCAACACACCGCAGCACACGCTAAAATACGTTCGGCAGTATCGAAGGCGCGCTCGGGCAGGAGGCTCTGTTCTTGTGTGGGTGTGCGCGCGTGGGCATTCCCAATCCACAAGACGGCTCGTCGCTTGGGCCGCGACCCGTGCGGCTCAGAGCTGCAGCCTGTGGTGCACAGCCGTGCCCAACGTGTTCTTTGAGCACGGTGCTCTTGGGGCGCGTGACCGCTGCAGCCGCGGACGTCGTGGCCACTCGCGGGTGAGGCACACTGAGCCTCACCGTTGTGTCCTTGGCGTCGCTCGGACGTGTGCATTTTTCCTTCGGCGAGGACCCGCGAGGAGCATCCTTGATCATTTGGGGGAAAAAGCCACGCACGAAATCGAAAAATGCACGGGGAATGGACGTCCGAGCGATGGCGAGTGTCTGGGATGCGCGGCCCGGCCACCACGCCAGGACTCCAAGCACCGTGCTGGCCAGGCGGCCCAACGGGTCACTTCCTGAGCAGCCAGGTAGAATGCAGTGGAGGCCCAGGCCAAGGAGCACCCCGATTGCCTCCCGAGTGCCCTGGGTTTCCTGGGTTTCGATGGTTCTGCTGTGGAAAGCGTGACCGTCCCACACCAAAGGTCCATGGGCGTCCTGCGGGTCTCAGGGCTCGGGTTTCTCGTGGAAGGTTTCCTGTGGCCGAGCCCCCTGCTGCACTCCAGGCAAGTCGAGCGATGCGAAACGGAGGGCAAAGGGAAACCCAAGACGGCGCGGCGCCCCGCCAGGGCGGCTCCACGCGGTCTGCGCCCGCACGGGCGAGCCGCGGTGGCGCAGCGGGCAGGCCGAGGCGGCCGCGGGGAGAAGGAGGAGAAGGAGGAGGAGGAGGAGGAGGAGAAAGAGGAGGAGAATGAGGAGGAGGAGGAGGACGAGGAGGAGGAGGAGGACGAGGAGGGACGTGGACGAGGTCGAGGGAGGATGGAGGAGGGAGGAGGGAGGAGGGAGGAGGGAGGAGGAGGGACGAGGGACGAGGGACGAGGCTCGAGGGACGAGGGACGAGGGACGAGAGACGAGGGACGAGGGACGAGGGACGAGGGAGGATAGAGGAGGAGGAGGAGGAGGAGGAGGAGGAGGAGGAGGAGGAGGAGGTGGGCGAGGTCCGAGCGCTCGCGCCCGCGGCTGGCCCAAGAGAGGAGGAGGAGGAGGAGGAGGAGGAGGAGGAGGAGGAGGACTGACGCTCCACGCTGTCAAGGAAAGGAGGAGGAAGGACGAAGGGCTTTAAGAAAGGTTTGTTTCGCGTACGAGGTCTGGTGGCTCGCAGAGAGTTTGTGATTCCGATCGTGTGACGGGTCGGGAGCCCCTGACCAGGGCCGTTCCATGCTCGGGCCCCCCGATGTGCGATCCCTATCGGTGTTCGCTATTGTGACAGCAGGTTATCCTAGCAGGCTGGTTCGCTTGTACCTTTTGCTCATGTCATGCCTACTGGGAAGAGGAGAGGGGAGAGATATTTTAGGAGATAGCTGAGATGGGCAAGTTCGGTGCGCTCGCGCTACATCTGATGCCATGTCTCTCAATCCCATCCTTTCTCACGGCGCTGGTTTCTCTATCCACGGGCGCGTGTGATAGCCTGCCTGGAAAACCAAAAAACGACCCCAGCGTGTTATACGCAATCGAAAAAGGGGAGCTGCGCACATAGAAGGAAGGGAGGAGGAGGAGGAGGAGGAGGAGGAGGAGGAGGAGGCGGGTGAGCAGAAGGATGAGGCGAAAAAGGAGGAGGACGAGGACGGAGGAGGAGGAGGAGGAGGAGGACGACGACGAAGGACAGCAGCAGCAGGAACTGGAGCGGAAGGAGAGGGATAACCAGGGAAAGCCGGATAGAGAAAATGAGGTGGTGACAACAATGAAAACGGATTCGGATCCGGAAAAGTGGCCCGCGCTTGGGCAAGAGCGCCATTCTGAACGTCGGGAGCCAAGCGCCGATCCGAAAATGAGCGGGAGAACTTTGTAGGAACACCGAAAACAATCGGATGGGGAAACACACAAGACACACAACACACACAAGACACAAGACACCAAAGCAGTACGCGGAGAGGGCAGGTTATCTTCCGGACCTAGTCAGGGGAGAGAGGCGAGCGTTATATTCATAAGGTGTTATTGCAGCGAGGAGGAGGAAGAGGAGGAGGAGGAGAAGAAGAAGGTTGATAGAATCCCCACCCTGCCAACATTGATCAGCGAATGTGTCCCCTGTCGACTCGCGGGGGCGCCGCGGCCGCAGCTTCTGCGGGACTGCGCCCGCCAGGTCGGGCCCCTGGGCCTTCTCACTCCGAGGAAGTCTTCTGCCGAACGGAGCGCTGCTCCTCTGGCACTCCCGCGCCGACCTGCATGGCTTGGGGGGGTCCCGTCCTCGTCTTTTCATGCCGTCTTTGTTCTCCTTCGCTTCATGCCTACAGTGGGGGGGGTCAAAAAAGGGTTTGACGGCGGGTCTGGGACCCCCCCCAAGACCGGTGCAACCGCGCCCAAATCCGAACCCCCCCAGAAGCATCGTTTGACGTTTCGATCTGGACCCCGCCCAAAGAGGAGTGTCTGGACCCCCCCCCCAAAGAGGAGTGTTTGGACCCCCCCCAGCGTCCGGTGCAGCCCACTGCTCGCTTGGACCGGCGCCGGACCGCCCCATGCTCAAACGCGCGTTGCTACAGGAGGCTCTGTCACTCGGAGGAGAGAGGGCCGAGGCCGCTGCGTCGGGGTCCCAGGGGGAGGAGGGGAGGGGGAGGATCAGGATCAGGATCAGAGCTCCAACGAGCCTCTTGTCTTGGTCAACTGCGGGATTGAAACCAAGGCTCGGAGGAAAAAAACACTTGGTGGGTTCAAGCTCAGGGCAGGAGTGCCTCCGAGGCTTACAGTCGGGGCCCTGAAGAAGGAACCCTTTTTGTTGGGGAGGGGCTCCGTGTTCCTTAGTTTCGGGGGAGCGTAAGACCCGGGTTTGCCGGGACTCGGGTTCGCCATTTTTTTTTGACGACCGCGACTCGGATTTTGACGAGGAGGAGTTTTGTGGGATGTCTGCAGCGGGAGGCCTCGTCAAAATGCAGGCTCGGCCTCGTCATTTTTTTGACGACCTCGTCGGGGATTTCCGAGTCCCCCGTACCCGGGTCTTACGTCTCCCCGATAGTTGCTTTACAGTGCTCCTTGGGTTTTCCTGAGGTGTTCCATGGAACATCGGAGTTGAACTTATGGGAAAAAGGGGCCTCGTTCCTTATTTATCGTTCCTTAGGTCAACTCCCCGACTGTACGCCAAATGCTAGGCTCCTGCCGCAGCAACTCCTCCATCTCCTGGGGGCGGCCGGGCGCCAGGCCCGTGCGGCAGACGACGCGGCGGCGAGGACCTGCTGGGACTCGGGAGGGGGGAGGGAATGGGGGAGGAGGGGAGGGAGGAGGAGGAGGGAGGAGGAGGGAGGAGAGGAGGAGAGGAGGAGGCGGGGGAGGACCAGCGTTAACCCAGATGCTGGCGCCCTGAGCCCCAGAGACCCTCGCGGGAGCGCATTTACCCCAAAACGGGGCCCAGCAGGCGCGGGGGGAGGGGGCGCGACGAGGACGGCGGACAGACGGCGGCGACCAGCGACGACCCAAGGAGACCCCCAAGCTGCCTCCAAGAGGCTCCCAGGAAGCTCCCAGGAGGCCCAAGAGTGTCCCAGAGGCTCCAAAGATGCCCCCTCTTCCTCCTCCTCCTCCTCCTCCTCCTCCTCCTCCTCTCCTCCTCCTCCTCCTCACCTCCTTCCTCCCTCCTCCTCCTCCTCCCTCCTCGGGACCCTCCGCCATTTTGGCTCAAGCGCCCCCCATCGAGCGACGCCCAACCGCAGGGCGGCGCCCGGCGGGATGGCCCCGCACCGGCGCGCCGTTCCCAGGCGGCTGCTGGGCGCGGGCCTGTGCTGCGCGGCGTGCGGGCCGCCGGTGGCCCGCCGCGGGCTGCTCGCGGCGCCGCTCGCGGCGCCGCTCGCGGCGCCGCCGCGGGCCTGGGCGGCGCCGTGGGCGCCCGCCGCTCCTGCGGCCCCGCGCGCCGAGTCCGGGCGCTACCCGCGGCCCAGCTTCGAGGGCTTCGGAGAGGTGCTGGAGCTGAGCTCAGAGCCGCCCGTGTGGCTCGTGCGCGACTTTCTGAGCCGCGAGGACTGCGCGTCCCTGATCGAGGACGGGCGCGCAGGCGTCCGGCCGGAGAAGGTGTACGAGGGCTCCTTCGTGGTGTTCGACGAGGACCGCCTGAGGCCGCTGCTGCTCTTGGGTCCTCTGTGCGCTGCCGCCACGTACTCGTTCCGGGAGGGCGACCTCGCGGCGGCCGCCCTGGCCCTTGGCGCCTTCGCGGGGGCCGTGCTGCTGCTCAAGGAGGGCCTGCGCTGGTACATGACCAGCGCGACCGCGTCTGGCGGCAAGGGCGGCGCGCGCTTCTCTGGGACCAAGTGGCAGCTCTGCCCTCCGCTCCCGGGCGAGGACCCGCGCGGCGGCGCCAGGGGACGCCTGCTGGAGCGGGCGAGGCTGCTATGCGGCGTCCCGAGCGTGAGCTGGCTTGTGCCTCCGACCCTGACGCGGTATAGGCGCGGCGAGGGCCAGGACGCACACGTGGATTCGCGGGAGCGCCCGGGCGTGGGGGCCGCGCGGGCCGAGCGCGAGGCCTTCGAGGCCCAGGGCGGCCAGAGGGTGCTGCAGTGCCTCGCCTACCTGAACGACGTGGACGCCCCGCAGCACGGGGGGCACACGTGCTTCCACAGGGGCACCCTGGACGGACTCCGCGTGCGGCCCGAGGCGGGGAGCGCCCTGGTCTTCTGCGTCTCGCTCGCGGGCGGCGAGGAGGACCTGCGGATGGTGCACTCCGCGGAGGCGCTCCGCGGGGACGTGGAGAAGTGGGTCGTGCCGCTGTGGTCGCTGGAGGGGCCCCACGAGGACTGGGCCGCCTGGGCCGACGCCGGGGCCGAGCCCGGCGTCGAGGGCGGCCGCGCGGAAAAGCAGCGAGCTCCATCATGAAAAAAAATCCTCCTCGGGACCCGAGGGGGAGGAGGGGGAAAAAAACACACACAGGCACAATTGATCGTGCCTTCCCCAGAAAATATGGGAAAATATCGGAAGTGGGGGGGAAGACAAAAGCTCCGACAATATGGGAAACTATGGGGAACGTTTTTATTTGTGTGCATTTATTTGTGTGTCCCAGGGCCCCTTCAGACACGAGGGCCCAGGGACCCGAGGGGGAGGAGGGGTAAAAGACCTGCTCGAAGTTTTTGCTAGCTAGTGTCAAAACCTGGCAGCTCTGAAGTATGACTTGGTATGTGGGGTGCCCTTTTCGGATCCCCCTCTTCTCTAGATACGCATTCACACACACACACACACACATCATCGGGGGCCTCACTCTTCCTAGCTTCCCAGAACTCGGCCGTCGGAGGAGGAGGACCGCGCCTAGGGGTACGTGTTCGGGGTCGCCGTGCCGTCGATCCACGAAGTCTCGTAGCGGCACTGGGGTCCGTCGATCCACTAGGTCTCGTAGCAGCTCTGGGACCCGTGTACGTCGATCCACTGGGTCTCGTAGCAGGTCTGGGGGCCGTAGGAGCTGTCGATCCGCTGGGTCTCGTAGCAGCTCTCGGCCCCGAAGTCAATGTTAGGGTCGGGGGTCTCGAGGGACAGGACGAGGTAGGAGTACGAGTGGAGGAAGACGGCAATGATCGATGAGCCCGCTCATTGCCAGGCGGGGGCACCATATCAACATCATGAATTGAACCGCTCAGAACACTATCAGCACTCACAATGTGTGGGACACCTCGATCCCCGCCATCAGCACTCACACCGTCGGAAACGCCTCGAGCCCCGCTCTCAGCACTCACAGTGTGTGGGGGGGGGCGCCTCGATCATTATCAGCACTCACTGGTCCGTGAACGCCTCGAGCCACTCCTGGAGCGCGCTCCATGTGGGTGGGCGGTGTTCGGCCCTACTTCAGCTCCGCTCCCGTCTGTGCCAAGCTTTTGTGGATGACCTTGCGGATCTCGGCGTCCAGGTGCAATAGTACTTTCTTCTTGTTTTGGTCGTAGCACCCGTCCATCTTGCAGAACTTGATTTGTTCGGCTTTGGTCGTGGTATCCATCTGGTCGAGCAGGCCGTGCAGCTCGGCCAGCTTCTTGGCGTTGGCGGCACCCACTGCGTCCTTCCTCTCCATCAGGCCCATCAGCAGGCCGCCGAACACCCACAGATGTGGGGGCCCCATGTTGAGGCCGCGACCCTGCGTCGCGACCGCGTCCGAGTACTTGCTGCCCATCTCGCTCGTCTTGGTCGCTTCGCGGCTGTTCGAGTCGATGAGGACGCAATCGAAGATGGCGCCTTCCACGTTCCCCTTCGACTGACCGAGCTGGAGCAGGAACTTGAGGGTCCGCACCTGCAGCGTCTTCTGCGCTCCCTTGAGGCCCAGATCGGGTTTCTTCTCTCCGTCGGCTCGCCGGCGGACGCGTCGTGCCCCGCCGTTGCCGCCGCCCGCAGCCGCTGCCGCCGCCGCTCCTCCTGGAGTGCCGAGAGGTCCCTGCGGCAGAACGCGGCGGTCCCGCGGGGGGTCGGACGCCGGCGGACGGAGAGAGATCTGAGAAAAGACTGCCACAGCTGAGGGATGAGGAGCATGCTGCTGTACTGCATGCTCATTGTATTCGGCCCATGGCTTCGAAGGCTTCGCCGCAATAGGTGCACTTGATCGCACCAGGGGCATTCAGGGACCACGGAAGTCGAGATCGACCGAGTCGACGTTTGAGACTAGAGGAACAACAAAAACACAGACACGGTTAATCCTCGATTCCTCAGAAAATATTTGAAAATATGGGAAGTGGGGGGGAAGACAGAAACCGAGTAAATATGGGAAAATATGGTGAATATGTTTATTTGTGTGTATTTATTTGTGTGTGCTGGGGCCCCTTCAATGCAAGGGGTTACGCTGGCCGTGTTCACCTCTTCTAGCAGCACCCGAGCAGAGCGCCCCGCTCTCGTCGCTGATCGTGCCAACGAAGGCCGTGAGTTCTTCTTTCCGGCGGCGGCGCAAGCGTGCGAGCAGGTCCTCGCAGGTTCTGGAAACAATCCGATGATGATGATGATGCTGATGATGCTGATGCTGATGCTGATGCTGATGTTCATGCTGCTGATGATGTTGATGATGCTGATGCTGATGCTGCTGATGACGATGCTGCTGGCGAGACTGCTCGCCGTCCTGACGGATGGCGAGCAGTCTCGCCATCCGTCAGGATCGTTGCCTTGAGGATCGACGGGTCGACCCGAAGCCATGCTTCTCGCACCTCGTCGTCATCATATTGGTATGCTTTTCCTGGCAGGCGTGTGCGGCCACAAACACTGAAATTGCAGCGCCAAGAACTACTTGGCGCACCTCATCACAAATTGATGTGTTCTGCCACCTGATGAACAGAAATGGTGTGAACAAACCGTGCGCCTTCTTGTGGTGAAGTAGGCCTGGGGGCCTGTGAGCGCCCTGGAGCCGTGCTTGTCACGGCGGAGCCTGAAATGGCAGCGGATCCGATGATACAAGAATCCGCAAACAATCTGCGAATGCCGTCAGGATCGCTGCCCTGAGGATCGACGGGTCGACCCAAAGCCACGCTCCTCGCACCTCGTCGTCAGAAAACAAGGCGACGTAGGAGTAGTCATGCTCACTCCGTCGCTCGAGGACAACTCCTCGGTGCCGCTGATCCCAGCGTGCAGCCACACATCGGTTTCTACTTGATTCAGAGCCCCGAATCATCAGGGGTAACTCGGGTCAGGGCTAACTCGGGTTCGTTTTTCGGGAATCCAAGCCCGAGTTACCCCGGACCCGAGTTACCCCGGATAACTCGGGCGCCCAATTGATACGCTAGGGGAGGGGCTTCTCGGGTGAGGCGTCCTTGGAGGTCCAGAGGGGGAGGTCCGCCACGGAGGGCTCCCCAGGGAGCAGCAGTGGCTTGGGCATGGACCTTGGGGCCTCGGGCCGTCTTCTGGATCCAAGTCTTCCTCTCTCACATCGCCATTCACTCACCTTATTCCTCCTCCTCCTCCTCCTCCTCCTCCTCTCCTCCTCCTCCTCCCCTCTCCCTTTCTCCTCCTTCCCCTCCTCCACCTACTTCAAAACTCGTTCTGGAGGCTATGAGGACCTGCCACTCCACGTCCGCAGCCGTGCCTCTCTCCAGAGCTCTTAAGCAATTCGCAGCGATGGTGTCCATCCGGTTGGTCATATTTGCCGAGAAAACGTAGGCCTCGTTCGCCGATAAACCCGCTTCAACAACGCGTCCCTGGAAAGCTAGAAGCTTCAGTTTACTGGATATGTGACTACCCCAGAGACTCCGCATGTTTGCCCAACCCGCCCTCATGGCCGAGCATCTGAACTGGAGCTCCTCCATCGTCGCTAAGTTCCAAGCATACCTACCGCCCAGATACCGAGCCCGTGGTCAAACCTTCTCCTACTTGGCAAGCTCCTTAAACCTCTTGGTCTCCCGGGAACGATGGAAGCAGGGGACGATCTCGCGTTTCCCCATATTCTGGAGAGTGCCTACCTGGTGAAATTCCTCGTCCAGGGTCGCATCGCTCTGCTGAGTGAGAAGGTTGGCAAGACACTGTTGACAAGAGTATGATCAAACATGTCGTCAGCGAAGACGCTCGTTCCACTGTCTATCTGACGCGGGAAGATACCGCACTGTAGAGTGATGGACTAAGCGGCGGGGCGGGTCGAGCGCCAGGCGTAAAAAGGTCGCTGCATGATCTTTGCGAAGTAATCGGTTCTTCGCTTGACCCCATTCGCCCTCCACATCGATGTCTGATCGCCAGGTTCCGACTATCCCTCCATGGTTCGTCCCCCCCATCAGCAAATCCCAGAAAGATGGCAGCATGCTCCAGTCGATGTTCAAACAGAGCTTGGTCTCTGGGGAGGGCAAGGTCCCGAATCGCATGATGTCTAGCTTCGGGCGTAGTGGATGCGAAAGCGTTAGACATGTCGTGTAAATTGTTGAGGTGGGTTAGCTTTCGCTTCCGTAGCCGATGTCCTACACAAAGTTGAACAGCTAGGGTGTCTTCACGACGCCGTGCAGGGAGAAAACCATGGAAACCAGGCGGCCAGTCCTGAGGTCGAGATGTCAGCCCTCGGCGGATCGCGGCTCCATAGAAGTCCTTCCAGTAAGGACAGAATACGTGAATGAGACGTTTTCCCCCAGGTCCGGGTGTTCCGTTCGGCTTCAAGATCGGGCATCCCGAGGAAAGATGGGCCAGCTTCGCTTCAGAACACGGGTCCACCAATGTAGATTCTCCAGATGAGTATACGCCAGAGAAGGGGGAAGCTCATCTACTCGTTCAGCACCCAGTCCTAGTCTGGGTTCGTCAGCACGTGAAACATAGCTGGACTCTGCAGCCATCAGAAATACTTCCGTGGGCACACTCCAAGCAGGGTCGGCTCGTCTTTCGAAGCGCTTCTTAAGAAACCTCAGGGTACCTCGAAGGTTCTCGTTCGGCCCAAAACCAGTGCTTCTCGTAGGTATCGAATGGCATCGTCGTCGTGTCGAACGCCTCTGGGCTATTCTCGAGTTCGGTCGTATAGTCGATCTCCTGTGCATACATACATCCCTCGTGCGGTGACCCAGCAAGATAACTCCTCCACTCCTCCCGTGACGACTGTGGGGTGGGGACTCGATACTTTCGCTTTCTGGGCCCCCCACAGCGAGCTGCCAACAGGAAACAAAGCCGATGGACCTCAGCGAATCGTCGGAGTCGATGAGCCCCGTGGATGTCTCTCTCGAGCCTGCGGCGACGCTCGGCACGCTCACGTCGGACCAGTTGTCGGAGTGAGGTGCGTATGTCCTGCAGCTCCTGGTACTCGGGGAAGAGCATGGGCCGATGTTGCAGCACGCTCGCGTACTCCTCGCCCTGCTCCCCGGGCCGTGCCCTCGCCGCCGCTCGCACTTGGACCAGTTCTCGTCGGCGTTCCCGAAGTCGAGCGGCCTGCGGGTCCTCGGTCCTGCTCTTGGCATCGCTCGGACGTGTGCATGCTTCTGTCGGCGAGGACCATCGAGGAGCATCCTTGATCATTTGGCGAAACAACCACGCACGAAACCGGAAAAAAACACAAGAAATGGACGTCCGAGCGATGGCCAGTGCTCGACTGTCCGAAGAAACGTTGTGCACAGGAGCGCACCGGCTCCACCCACGTCTGCCAGCATTTGTCGACGTCGCCACTGTCGCCAGTCCGAGAGATCTCTGCGCACTGTGCGAAGGCGTCCTCCAAGGAGTTGTGGAGCGCGAGGCGGTTGGTGCCCTGTTCTTGGCATCGCTCGGACGTGTGAGGACCATCGAGGAGCATCCCTGATCATGTGGCGAAACAACCACGCACGAAACCGAAACAAATACAGGGAATGGACGTCCGAGCGATGGCCAGTGTCCGAAGGCGTTCTCCAAGGAGTTGTGGAGCTCGAGGCGGTGGGTGCCCTGTTGGAGCGCCGCTGCGAGCTTATTATCCCGACCCCATCTGAGTGTGCCAATCGTCTGGCAGCGGTGCTGGTGAGCCGCGAGCTCAACAATGCTAGGGACATGGTCTCTCGGTGCAGCACTCGGTACAAGTCGGAGGCGCCTCGCCGAGCTCCACGGGGTAACACCTCGTCGAATCTGATCGTGCATTGCCAGCGGCATGGGAACGTGATCCACTGCACCCGTCGGCCCGTCGAAGCGGTAGTAGGTCGGACCTGCTTTCTGATAGAAATTGCCAACACTCATCATCTCAGAAGGTAAACTCAATTCCTCCAGGATCTGATCTCCGATGATGGTGTGGTTGCCGAGGTTGTGGCCGCCGATATTGTCGATCGACCCCCCGCCCTCAACCTCGAACTTCGGTGGAGACAGTAGTGCGAGGTTCTTCAAGCCAATGCCAGTATGCAAGTCGCCCATCACGATCGGTGTCGATCGCGCAGGAGCCGACTTAACCTGATGTTTTGCCCATGACACCAATTCACGAGATCCTTTTTCTAGTGCCCGCATCTTATGGGCGCAGTCGTCCTTGAGTGGGGGCAGGTATATCAGCACGATCTTCAAGCCCAAGGATCCACGAACTATCCGAGCGGCGATCCCTCGTCCTTGGGCCGACGTCGGTGGGGTCGAGATAGTGCGAATCCCCTTGCGCAGCCTCTGAGTCATCATCAACATGCATCCTGCCGATCTGTTCGAGAAAGGAGCCGCTGACCATCCTGCCGACAAGCCAAATCCTCCGCGCTCGAGTTGCCATTCTTGAACAGGGTAACCAGGTGGCGCCTATAGGCGTGTGCCCGCCAACCCGATGCTGTTTGCATGAATCTCTCTCCATCTGTCCGAAGGTCGATCTACTTCCACCAGCGAGAGAAGATGGTATAGTGCCAAGCTGAGAAAGGGACCCATGGACCCACAGAGGCGAGTGCGTCCTGTGACGTTCCCGCCCCGAGTCAGTGAGCGGCGAGGCCACGAGGAATGCATGCGGAGGGGAGTGCGGTGCAATACGTGCATGCTGCATGGCGTGGGGTTGGCGCCAGGAGCAGCCGGGGAGGGGGAGGAGGGGGGCGGCGAGGCGTCCTGGGGGGGGGGGTGAGGCGGATGGGGAGGGAGGGAGGGGAGGGAGGGAGGGAGAGGAGGGAGGAGGGCAGGGAGGGAGGGAGGAGGGAGGGAGGGGAGGGAGGAGGGGAGGGAGGGAGGGCGAGGGAAGTGGGGAGGAGGGGGTGGGAGGGAGGGAGGAGGGAGGAGGGAAGGGAGGGAGGGGAGGGGAGGTGCAGGAGCGGAGGAGGATGACGGGAGGGGAGGGAGGAGGAGGAGGAGGAGGAGGAGGGAGGGAGGGAGGGAGGGAGGGAGGGAGGGAGGGAGGGAGGGGGGGAGGGGAGGGGGGCGGCCGCTGCGTCGGGGTCCCAGATTCGGGGGCCGAGGCTCGAGGACTGGGTCTCGAGGCCCGAGTTCGGAGGGTCGCAAAAAAACCCAAGGATTGCAAAAAAAACTAGGCTTGCAAAAAAACCCAGGGTTTGTTTGAAAACCAAGGGTTTTTTGCAATCATGGGTTTTTTTGTTTTTTTTTTTTGCAATCCTGGGTTGTTTTGCAATCCTTGGTCCGAGGTTAGCGGATCCGGGACCGCTCGACCAGCCCCTCTGCCGAGAAGCTGCAGCAGCGAGTCGGGGATCGAGTGCTCGAGGAGCAGAGAGCCCCCAAGAGAGCCCAACGGGGCCCCGAGGGCGACCATCAGATCTGTGGCCCCGGCCAGCATGGGACGGGCGCGTTCTGGCGGGAGTTCTGGGGCAGGTCAAGCTGCGGCGACCAGAAAGCCCCAGGACGCTCGAACCTCGATCTTTCAGGAGGGGAAAAACACACAGACACACTTAATCGTCGATCCCCCGGAAAATATTGGAAAATATGGGAAGTGGGGGGGGGGAAGACAGAAACCCAGGAAAAATATACGACAATATGGGGAGTCCTTTTACTTGTGTGTATTTCTTTGTGTGTCCTGAGGCCCCTTCAATCTTGCTCGTCGGTCCTCGAGCGTCGAACCTCGAGTCTATTTCGCTCCTCGATCGGGCCTCGGACGTTACCAGCCTGGAACATATCCCTATCCCTATGCTGGGCATCGCCTCATCACGATGCCAATCTTAGGGATTCCCTTATTTTTTGAGGGCGCATCCCTAAAATTGTCATCGCCCTTTGGCGTGTCAATCTTAAGGATAGGGATACGTTCGAGGCTGGTAAGGACGTCGATCCTCGAACACGGCGCAGCCGCCTCGGTCCTCGAGCGCCGCACCTCGAGCCTGCCGCCGACCAAGCCCCTCGCCGAGCCTGCCTGCCGAGGTGGCACCGCCTGGCGGATCTTTTTCTGGGGATCAGGAGGAGGGAGGAGGAGGAGGAGGAGGAGGAGGAGGAGGAGGAGGAGGAGGAAGCCCATTTGACCTCAGGCGACCTGGGCCTGCGATCCGATCGATCGGTCGGGTTCGATCGGCGCCTGCCGCCCGATCGATCCCGCCTCGCAGGCCGATCGCGAGGTCGGGCTCAGCGCGCCGCGGATCGGCGATTCGCCGCCTCCGCTGCCGCGCCCTGGCCTCTGGCGGCTGCCGCGCGCCTTCGGCGCGCCCTGGAGGGGCCCGACGCCCCAGGAGCCCGCCTGGCACAGGCGGCAGAGAGAACGCCGAGCCTCTGCACGGGCTCTTCTCCGTGTCGTGAAGGCGGCCGACCTCCTCAGCGGCCACCACTCCGCGCAGCAGCACCAGCGCTCCCAGCAGAACGTGCTGCAGGACTTCGAGACCAGCGCGATGGCAGCCAACGCAAAGTCTCACGGTCATCCAGTGGGTGCCAAGCCGTGGCCATGGAGGTCAAGCACACCAGCATCTGGCTCCTCTCACCGCCGACACCACGGAGGGCATGGACAGCAGCAGCCACGGTACCAGCCCCAGCACAACCAGCACCACCACACCTCCTACCACGACGAGGACCGACAGCAACACAACTACGCCCAGCATCAGCAGCAGTATCAGTACGACTGCACCACAGCGAGAACGAAGCGGCCTCCCTCGAGACGACGCCGCCTGGCCCCCGAGGATACCACCAACGACCACCGACATCTGCAAAAAATGACGAAACGACAGTTGGAGGTCACTGACAAGGTAATGCCCGCTTTGCTTTCGGATGCCAAGGGACATGAAAGTTTTTCTCTTCCCCCCGACGAGCCAGACATACGTCGGGTCTGGCACGCGACCAAGGTGGCGAGGATGGCACGTCTTGCCGACCAAGTCCTCGGAGCCAGGCAAGCTCAAGTTGACCCAACCCGCCTGATCGAGGAGCTGGCCATAGTCAAGACCATGCTACATCTATTGGACACGCCGACGGCTCGCATCTCTCAATATAGATCTCAAGTGGAGTCACGGATCCAGAGACAGCAGATCGTCGAGAGCCAGCTTCACGACCTCAATAAGGAGCACGACGAGATCAAGCGCGAGATCGCATCCCTCAAGGCACTCATCACCGAGGCCAAACAGCATCGAGAACATGCTGACCTTTCGGAAGACAGTTGTGACGGGGACGGTGAAGATGACGTGCGCCACCGTGTCAGGGGCAAAACACCACACCCTGAGGGACGACAGCGACCACTAGTTCGTCAACCTGCGTCCGAGCCAGCGCCTGTTTCGACTACCAACGACGACAGCGACCTGCGGAAACTCATTGACGCGCTGACGAGGAGAGTGGATGAGCAGCAGCGCAACCACGGGATACACCAACACCATCTGGCGTTTCTCCACCATGAGCGTGCCGAATCTGATCAACACGAAGCACAGCGTCAACTGCAGACCGAGCAGATTCAGGAGCTTTCGCAACATCTACAACACTGCCAGGAACAGTTTCAGCAAGCACAACTCCAGCAGAGACAGTCGTACTACGACGAGATCCAAGTCTTCCGACGGCGAGAGGAGCGGCTCCGACACGAGGCTCGAGAATCCCTCACGGAGAACCTGGCTCACTACCAGCAGAAGGAGGCCTACCTGCGCGACCAGCTCAAGGAGGAAGAGTCAGCGCACCTCGCCACTTTCATCACCCAGAGGAAGCAGGAGGAAGAGACTTTCCGACACCAGCTACACGAGAACGCCGAGATCATGGTCCAACAATATCAACAACGCTGCCACGAACAACAGCAACGTCTTCTCTCCGAGAAAGCTCAGGCTCAGCAGGACATCAGCAACATCGCGAGGCTTGAACAGAACCAGCTTCAGGATGCCAAGGAGCTACTCTTGGAGGAGTTCGGACAGGTCCAGGCTCAGAAGTACCGCACTTTGACGGCCCAGAGCGAGTACGACAGCGAGATCGACAGGCTTCGAGGCACCTCCCGTGACATACAGCGCTTCGAGAACGAACTCCAGGAGCAGCAC